CTGGGGTTGTCGGCGCTCATGCTGCGGTCAGCACTCATGTTGTGGTCGGCGCTCATGCTGCGGCTGGGGTAGTCGGCGCTCATGCTGCGGTCGGCACTCATGCTGTGGTCGGCGCTCAGGCTGTGGTGGTCGGCGCTCAGGCTGTGGCTGGGGTAGTCGGTGCTCATGCTGCGGTTGGCACTCATGTTGTGGCCGGTGTGGTCGGCGCTCATGGAGTCATCTCTGGCTGCCACTTCGAATTTACAAAACGATGGCCATTCAGCTAAATTAAGGGACTATATGGATCTCCAACCACATTTAGAACTATTAAAATATGCTTCCACTAGATGGCAAAAGGGACAAAAATCTGTGTCCATCCACCATTGGCATGTTAAGACTGGTATTTATGCTATATGCTGTTAATTTTCTTAAGTTATGAACCAATTTTCAAAATTTGAATGAGTTGAAAAAATGCTACTTTCACAAAGTTTTGTCATTATTACTTCGACAAATATTTTTATTCAGACTTCTGCCTGAGGTATTCACGTGCGTTTCAGGACATTTCACCTCAATCATAAGGTCCCAGGCAGTCCAATGGCCAAATATTGCTCGAGCCCCACACAAAAGCTAAATTTAATCGCGTTGCGAATATTGAGCTCCAATATCCTCAACACAGATTCTCTTCCATCACTGACGCCTTCCACGGCACAAATCTTCCTTGATCGCATGTTACGTCTCAAAAACAAAGAGCAGAGGCTCCTCGATGCACAGCAATATTACCCTACAGATGTCTAAAAATCTGCTGTGGACTCACAGTGGCCCCTCATGGATGAAGTCATAGGACAGCCATCTTGCTTTGTCAATGACAACTTCCAATTGGTTTTCACTAAACACTCCGCTTATCAGTGGTTAGTTTACACCAGGATCCCTTTTTGGAGTAAAAAGAGCCTCACAAAGACGTATGACAAGCACCCCCGCATAAAGATTGAAGTATTTTGGTCCAGCTTTCACACAAAGACGATGTGTGAGCAAACTGAACCGAGCATTAAGTCAGTATACACACACACACACACACACACACACACACACACGTGACATTTGGTCATATATAGTAAGAACTCCTACCCCCACCCCCAATGTAAAATGTGTCGAATAAAAAGGTTGAGAGACAAGAACTCCTACCCCCACCCCCAATGTAAAATGTGTTCAATAAAAAAGGTTCAGAGACAATGGATAGGGAAATAATTATGTCACCCCATTTTTCCTCACCTTTACTTTTTAGCTTCAGCACAGAATTCCAAGCCTGGAGAAGTTCAAAAGCCTCATCCAGCGAAACATCATTGGAAGACACATCTGGAGCAAATAAAACAAGTCTTATTCTCACAAAAATAAAATTATTGTTGACATAATCAATGTTCTTACCTGACACACGTCTCTGTCGAAGCCCAGCATCGGCTGCATCTTGTGTAGCTGGAAAACAAAGCACTCACTTTCACATTTGGGGACTCAAACATTAAGATTTTAAATACAAACGTGCGTGCATTTTTTTTCTTAAATGTTGACCATTTAAAGAAGAAAAAAAAAAAACTACCTCTGTCGATCCAGACCGCATGCACCAGAAGAAGCAGGAGCCAAACAGCAGCCATCTCTGCAGTGACAGTTGTGACAAGGACAGGACGCAAGAGCTCTTATAGCAGCTGACAGCTGATGCTAATTGGCGCTTTTTAGCACCAGGTGCACACAGCTGCATCTGACGGGGGTTTTTTTTTGTGGGTTTTTTGGGGGTGAAAAATAGCAACATACAAATCTTTGGAACTGATTTTTCAGGTGTCTACACTTTACTTTATTGTAGCAGCTGGTCATTAGAGGGTGTGTGGATGCTGACCATGCACAGGCCACAACATTACTTAAAAACAAAAAAAACAAAAAAAAAGAAAGAAAAATATCGATACTAAAATAAAATAAAATTGAAATATACGTAATGGTTGTTCAATGTGTATCTATTTTTATATAAACAGCACATAGGTGTGGCGGCACGGTGGGTGACTGGTGAGCACGCCAGCCCCAAAGTTGCTTTTACTGTTTAATTGGAATTATTCTGTTTTGAACGTCAAAATTCACTTTTGTCACGTAGTTGTTTCCTGATTCAATACGTCATATGGTACGGCTATGATGCCAACAGTTTCTTGATCAGAATATGAATCTGATTTATTGACCAAGTATGCAACACAAGGAATTTTATTGTCCCACTTAGAACCCATTCAGAGGAACATAAGACAACCAACATTGGGAGACAGAATGGGAACTCTGGCCGTTAAGTGCTCCAAGATCTTAGCTGTGAAATGTAAAACAGTAGGAAATAGGGGAAGAAACAATGTTTGAGCCTGAGAAAATGACTCTGCACATGCAGCATACATTTAAAGACAGTCGAACTATTCGAGACTTAAGATGTAGTGATCGAGGGGGTGAACACGTTACTACCAGTCAGACAACCTGCACAAGACAGATGCACTCTCTTCATTTTAAGCCATTCACCCATTTTTGGATCACACTTCGCACTTCAATGAAACTTCCCCTTTCCAGTGTTTTTGTTCCATCCCTCACAGTATGAAATGCTTTTTAATATGTACTTCAGTGATAGAGTTTGACTGATGGAGGACAAACACCTTTGAAGAACTATTCACAGGAGTTGGAAGGGGAAGTCAATCTTTGTTCATTTGATATTTAGTTTTCCACAATTGTAATGTAACCCCCCCCTCCCCCCCCACACACACACACACAACAAAAACACAAGGTAATGAATTTCACCATTTATTTTTCAGACAAGTTACTGCTCTTCCATCATGTTTCAGGGACAAACTGTATACTTCAAACCATGACATTAAAAGCATCATCATCATCGTCACGGTCATTCTGGTCGAGGCTCATGCTGCGGCCCGGCCGGTCGAGGTGGAAGGCATCATTCTGGTAGCCTTTGCTCATGCCGCGCCCCGCCTGGTCGAGGCTCATGCCGCGCCCCGCCTGGTCGAAGTGAAAGGAATCATTCTGGTGGCTCTTGCTCATGTTATGGCTCGGCTGGTCGTGGCTCAAGGCATCGTTCTGGTGACCCTTGCTCATGTTGCGGCCTGGCTGGTGACTGGTCACATTTTTCTGCTGCTGGGTGTTGCTTCTATTGTAGCTTGCTTGATTGATTACAAGATCACATGTTACTTGGCATTCAACTTAAAAGTAGCATCACACTCATACGCACATGTTCATAACTCAAGTAAAAAGTTGGAAAATAGAACCTAAATGCTGAAGATGTCACCTCAACTTTCTCACCTTCTTTCGTGTGGAGCTTCACCACTAAATCCAAAGCCTGGAGAAGTTCCAAAACCCCCTCCAATGAAACATTTTTGTGAGGAGCTGTCGCAAATGAAACAAGCGTTATCACAAATATGTTTAACTCATCAATAATGTGCTCACCTTGTCCAACTTTTTTCAGACCGGTATTGCCTTCCTCAAGTCTGGAGCCAGGAGGACCACAAAGGCCTGCAGACAAACACATTTCAGCATTCAAGGGACGCAAACATTCTGACATTAACACGAGATTGTTTGAAAGAAGCATTAAGAATTACCCGTATCCAGCATTGACACTTGCGCTAACACAACCAAGAGCAAACCAGCAGCCATGACTTCCTTGATCAGATGTGAGGACAGCACACCACGTGAGTTATTATAGCAGGTCGCAAGTGATCGCAAGCTGGGCCTGATTGGCTCTAATTATAGCACCAGGTGTACCTCTGCAACCCTCGCAAGTCATGACACCCCCCCCCCCCAAAAAAAAAACAAAAACAAAGGGGGACACCCTGAACTGGTTGCCAGCCAATCACAGGGCACACACGTAGACGAACAACCGTTCATGCTCACAATCACACCTCAGGACAATTTAGAGCGTTCCATTAACCTGCCGTGCATGTTTTTGGAATGTGGGAGGAAACCGGACTACCCAGAGAAAACCCACGCAGGCACAGGGAGACCATGCAAACTCCACACAGGAAGGCCGGAGATGGAATTGAACACTGCAGAAACCTAGTTGTAACAATGGCTGTGATTTTGGTAGTTCCTACCTGTCTTATTTGTACTGTAAATCACTTTAATGCAAGAGTTCAGTTTTTGCTGTACACAGGCTCTTTCAAGTGGTGCCCAAACTATGGCCCGAGGGCCGTTTGCAGCCCGCAATGCTCCAAGCTTTTATAGCAACGACCACAGCTGCTGGAGTCTATCCCAGCGGTCTTCGGGCAGAAGGCGGGGAACACCCTGAACTGGTTGCCAGCCAATCGCAGGGCACACATAGACAAACAACCATCTGTGCTCATAAGCACACCGAGGGATGATTTTTCCAATAAATAGCAGTGGCAAATTAAAACTCCCCTGCTGCATAGAAAAACTAATCCACACATAAAGTAATAAGCACTACTGCTCATAAATTGTCTTCTTTCCCATAGCCCCTACAACCAGAGAACAAAAGTAGCTCCTTAAAATGCATTTTGGTGGTTTCAGCAAATTTGCAACCAAAACATCTAAAAACATTTTAAATCAAATATAAATAGCTTTCAGAAATTACGAAAAGACTCTACAGCAAAATTGAGTTTAAAAACGCCTAACAGATCTGAATCAAAGGGATGGGGTTGTTGTGGGGGGGCATAGTTTGAAATCTGGATTTTGAAGCATTTATACTTTGGACAGACTTCTCCAATGGCAGCTTATTTTATTTGCATGCAGCATGACACCCAAATGCCACTTCACCAGGTTTGCTTCGAAGCCTGGACTCCATTGATCTAAACCTGCAGAGAGAGCCCTTTTGGTTTCTGGAGTTTGACATGCAAAGATATAAATTCATGACAAGCAAAAATAATTTCTCTCCAAACACTGAAGGGGGGGGGGAAACAACAAAAGGAAAAATAGTTTCCACAATCGCACGACTGATACTTTGAGAGCCAGGTGTTGAGACTTTGTTAGGTCGGCGAACTCTAGCAGTTTCACTTTTAACAAACTACAGAAAAGGAAAAAAAACAACCCACAAATCAGATTGTTTCCATGCTTTTAATCATTCCCCAACCATCTGACAGCTCACATCATACATTCACAAGAAGCACATCTGTTGCGTCACCCAAATAGGTGCCGCTCACGTCACCACTCTGGTTGTGACTGATTGTGTTCTCGTTCTGTTGGGTGCTGCTCATGTAGCTCGGCTGTTGGGTGCTGAACGTAGTGGTCCGTTGGCTGCTGCTGCTGCTGCTCATGTTGTGGCTTGGCTTTTGGGTGCTGGTGACATTCTGTTGTCCTCTGCTCATGTTGTAGATCTGCTGTTTGGGACTGGAGACATTGTGCTTATGGCCACTGCTCATGTCACTCTGCAGTTGGATGCCGCTCATGTTGTAGCTCTGCTTTTGGTGCCCAAAGACATGCTGCTGGCCACTGCTCATGTTGTGGTTCTGCTGTTGGGGGCTGAAGACGTGTTGTCCTGTGCTCATGTTGTAGCTCTGCTGGTCATTGCTCATGTTGTAGCTCTGCTGTTTGTGGCTGCTCATGTTGTAGCTCTGCTTTTGGTGGCTGAAGACATGCTGGTGGCCACCGCTCATGTTGTAACTCTGCTTTTGGTGGCTGAAGATGTGTTGTCCTGTGCTCATGTTGTAGTTCTGCTGGTGGGGATTTGAGACATTTTGTTGGTGGCTCCTCATGTTGTAGCTCTGCTTTTGGTGGCTGAAGACATGCTGGTGGCCACCGCTCATGTCGCTGCTCATGTTGTAACTCTGCTTTTGGTGGCTGAAGATGTGTTGTCCTGTGCTCATGTTGTTGCTCTGCTGGCCATTGCTCATGTTATGGCTTTGCTGGTGGGGGCTGAAGACAACCTGATGGCCGCTGCTCATGTTGTTGCGATGGTGTTTGGGACTGAAGACATGGTGCTCATGGCCGCTGCTCATGTCACTCTGCAGTTGGACGCCGCTCATGTTGTAGCTCTGCTGTTGGGCGGTCACATTTTCCTGCTGCTGGGTGTTGCTCACATTGTAGCTTGCTTGGTGATAACGTTGACCTTGACACAAGATCTCACATTAGTTAACGTTCAAATTGAAAAGTAACACTGAAAATTACTAAGGGGTACCAGCGCAGCTATCGTTAACTCTGTGCTAGCAAGACAAAACAAGGAGACAATAAAGATAGATCTTCTGGTATTAAGAAGCATTTCCACTTGATGGGAAAATGTAAAACTTTGGCATTTACTTTTCCCCCCACATTCACAGTGATAGTAATATAGCTTATGTCATATTTGCTCAAGTATGGATTTAAAAAAAAAAAAAATTGGACACCTGTCACCGCCCCAAACATTGTCCTCCTGAGCTCAATATATCTACTTTTTGCCATTTTCGGTAAAAAAAAACAAACAAAACAAATGCAGTTTAAAAGACTAATGGCTGGATTTTCTTTCCTTTGCAGGCATCACGTTGGCAACAGCTACTCTTCATATACTCACCTTTATTTTGTAGCTTCAACAGAGAATTCAAAGACTGGAGCACTTCAAAAGCCTTCCTCAGTGAATCATCATCAGGGTAGACAGCTAAAGCAAACAAATGAAATCTTGTAAATCACAAACCGATTTAATTTCTCACTCTTCTCACCTGATAAACCTTTTTTAAGTCCAGCCTTGAATTCATCTTGTTGAATACCAGGAGGAGCACAAAGGCCTGAAAGCACACAAATTAATTTCAGCTTCTTGGGACTCAAATAGTTTGTCTTTGAAAACAAATTTGGTTTACTATTAAAAAAAATAAAATAAAACACACACAAAAAAAAAAAAAAATGCCATCTACCTCCATCCATCAAGATAGCATACGCCACAACAACCAAGAGCCAACCAGCAGCCATTGCGTCGAGCAACAGTTGTGGAAAGAATGGATGTCGCAAGCTTTTATAGCAGTCAAGACAACTGCCGCTAATTAGCTCGAAACACCACAGCTGTACCACCGCAACATCAATGACATCATCCTTGCTTGGTATCAATTCAAACCCAAGCTAGCCCCTTTTGGTTATTGTATGTACTTTATTTTATATTTGAGAGAATTATCAAATGGATCATGTAACTGGGACAATTTAGAACGTGCCATCAACCTACCATGCCTATATTTGAGAGAATTATCAAATGGATCATGTAACTAGGACAATTTAGAGTGTGCCACGACCTGCCATGCATATTTTTGCAACATGGGGAAGAAACTGGAGAACATGCAAACTCCACACGGGAATCGAACCCAGCACCTTTGCACCGTGCCGCCATTATTTTTCATAAACATTTTTGTAATTAGCTGGCGACCATTTCAGAGTGTTCCTCCCCACTCACCCCAAAGTTATCTTGGACAGGCTCAAGCTCACCCACAAACTGAATGATAAGCGTGATAGAAAATAGATGATCAATTTTACACATAGAGAAAGTTTCTTTTCCTGCTTAATCGGAAAATTAAATGGTTAAAATTAAGTATGCACTAATCAACAAATGAACATGAAAATCACCTTCCTAATTTGGTGGTTTGATGAGTGTCCAATAGTTGAATATGTTTGGTTGGATGGATGGAATTACGTGATGCAATTTGAAACAAGTATAGCATACAGGAGACGTACTGTGTCTAATAAAACAAAATTTGATACATCTAATATGCATTTGTAGCTTTTTGATATGTAAAAGCACACGCTTTTTAAGTGACGTCCAAAACGACATCAGCAACAGACGGAGCTACAGGATCCCGTTCTGATCAGGTCACTGTTCATTTTAAGCTATTGAGCCCTATGTTTCCACTTTAACAGATTTTCCTAATTCTCGAGTTTTTTGTTCCGCCCTTATGACATACTGTAGCTTTTTAATAAGTGCTTCTGTGACAACTTTCTACTGATGTAACGAAAACACCTTTGAAGAAATCCATTCAGGTTGCAAGAAATGTATTTTTTGTTCACTATATATTTTTTTTTTCACTCAAGTTTTCCACAGGATTAAATTGTAATGAAAAAAACCCCACAAGGTAATGAATTTCATCATTTATTTTGCTGACAGATAAACTGTTCTTCCATGATGTTTCAGGGACAAACTGCACACTTCAAACCATGACATGAAATGAATCATCTGCCAAGTCGCCGTCATTCTGGTAGCGGCTGCTCAGGACAAGATTATCATCACTCATGTAGTCATAGAGGTCCTCGTTCATATTGAGGCTCAGCTCGTTATGGCTGAAGACGTCATCCTGGTGGTCCTTGCTCATATTGTGGCTCAGGGCATAGTTCTGGTGGCCCATGCTCATGTTGTGGCTCGGCTGGTCGTGGCTGAAGGCGCCATTCTGGTTTTCCTTGCTCATATTGTGGCTCGGGGCATAGTTCTGGTGGCCCTTGCTCATGTTATAGCTCGGCTGGTCGTGGCTTAAAACGTCATTCTGGTAGTCCTTGCTCATGTTGTAGTTCGGGGCATAGTTCTGGTGGCCCATGCTCATGTTGTGGCTCGGCTGGTCATGGCTGAAGGCGCCATTCTGGTAGTCCTTGCTCATATTATGGCTCAGGGCATAGTTCTGGTGGCCCTTGCTCATATTGTGGCTTGGCTGGTCGTGGCTCAAGGCATCGTTCTGGTGGCCCTTGCTCATGTTGCGGCCCGGCTGGTGGCTGGTCACATTTTCCTGCTGCTGGGTGTTGCTTCTATTGTAGCTTGCTTGATTACAAGAGCACATGTTACTTGGCATTCAACTTAAAAGTAGCACCACATGATCATAACTCAAGTAAATAGTTGGGAAATAGAACCTAAATGCTTAAGATGTCATCTCAACTTTCTCACCTTCTTTCGTGTGGAGCTTCACCACCAAATCCAATGCCTTGAGAAGTTCTAAAACCCCCTCCAATGAAACATCTTCGCGAGGATCTGTCGTAAATGAAACAAGCATTATCACAAATAGGTTTAACTCATCTATAATGCGCTCACCTCGTCCAACATTTTTCAGCCCAGAATTGGCTTCCTGTAGTCTGGGGCCAGGAGGACCACAAAGGCCTGCAAACAAACTCATTTCAGCATTCAAGGGACGCAAACATTCTGACATTAACACAAGTTTGGTTTAAAGAAGCATTAACAATTACCCGAATCCAGCATTGACGCTTGCGCTAACACAACCAAGAGCAAAACAGCAGCCATGACTTCCTTGATCAGGTGTGAGGGCAGCTCACCACGTGAGTTATTATAGCAGGTCGCAAGCGACCACAAGCTGGGCCTGATTGGCTCTACTTAGCAGCAGGTGTGCCACTGCAACCTCGCCATCCACCAAATTTGATTTGAATTCATATCAATTGAGGATGACTGATTTTATGTATGTTGCAGTCGTACAGCTGTGGTCATTGGAGCCAATTAGCGGCAGCTGTAGTCATTGCTTTTAAAAGCTTGCATTGTCTGTTTTTTTTTCGTCACAACTGTTTCATGAAGCAATGGCTGCTCTTTGGCTCTTGGTTGTTATGGTGTATGCTGTCTTGATGGATGGAGGTAGATGAGATTTATTTATTTTTTTCCTTTGGGAGGTGTTTTGAAAATCAAATTATGTTTTCCGAATGTAATGTTTGGGTCCTCTAATGCTGAAATGAATTTGTGTGCTTGCAGGCCTTTGTGCTCCTGCTAGTGTTAAACAAGATGCATTCAAGGCTGGGGCTAAAAAAGGTACCGGTATGTTGCCGGGGGCGGGGGGGGAATGGTGAGCAAATGAATGACTTCCTTGAGGAAGCCTTTGTAGTTTATGGTATTGTATTGCTTTTGAATTTGAATGGTAACTAACGTGAGATCTTGTGTGGAGGTCAGGTCAACATTATGAACAAGCAAGTCACAATGTGAGCTACAACATGAGCAGTGGCCAGCAGCAGAAAATCTTCAAGCCCCACCAGCAGAGCCATAACATGAGCACAGAACAGGTCTTCAGCCCCCACCAGCAGAGCTCCAACATGAGCAGCACCCAACATCCGAGCCACAACATGAGCAGCAGCAGCCAGCGGACCACTATCTTCAGCCCCCAACAGAACCAGAAGACCAATTCCAACCTGAGAGGTGCTGCTCAGGGCTCCAATCTGGGTGACTCAACAGATGTGCTTCTTGTCAATGTATGATGTGAGCTGTCAGATGGCTGCGGAATTATTAAAAGCATGGAAGCAATCCCTTTTTTTTTTCCCCATTCTTTCTGTACAGGTCGTTGGTCAAAAGTGAAACTATAGATCGCGGACTTGACAAAATATCAACCCCTCTATAAATACCAAGCCTTCAAAGTCTCAGTCATTGCAATTTTGTTTTTAGTCGTGTAGTTGGCCAGAATAGCCAGTTGGTTTCAGTCAAATATTGACACACTGCATTATGCAGGGTACACTGGGGGAAAAATATGTACTGTCGAAAAGGAATTGTACCAAACTGCAGTTATTGCTTAGTTTAGACTTGATTATAAATGTGGTTAAATCTTTTGGAAAAAAAATATACAAGCCCATACAAAGGTAAAGAATTGGATACTAATTTTATGGACCAATAATCTCAAATATGGAGCTTTTGATCCAAAACAAGTTGATCCACAATGCTTCTCAGATGTTCTGGATCTTTCTCCATACTTAATCAGATATTGGCTGTGCATAAAACTGATTACAATTTTGACTGTTCACATTCTTGTATGGCATGTACATATTTTTTTCAAAGATTTGATGTAACCATGTTTACAGTAATTTTCTCAAATACTTTGGCACATTTGCTTTTGTGCAGTACATAGTATGTTTCTATATTGTATATGCCGCACAATGCTCTCATTGCAATATTTCTTTCAAACATTGTCCGTCCTACTGCTCGACTACATTATTGAAAGTAAAATTGCTCAATTAAAATTAAAAAGCATTGCACTGAAGTCAGATGGGGACCCTCCAGATTATGACGTCCCGCTCACACTATTCAATTGTGTTGCTCCTGTATTACAAGTCTGTCAATAGTTAAAAACCAAAATAAATAAAAGTGGTGAATTCCATCATTTATTTTCCCCCCCAGACAGGAGTGATTAAACTATACAGTTCATGTTGCAGCTACAGACTTGGAACCATGACAGACACGTCATCTGCCATGTCACCATCATCCATTCTGTCATCACTCATGGCATCGAGTCTCCAGTCCACGCTCACGTTGGCCCCTGGTTGGTCGTGACTCCAGTCTGCACTGGCGTTGGCCCCCGGCTGATCGTGACTCCAGTCCACGCTGGCGTTGGCCATTTTCATGTCTTTGCTTGCTTGTTGGCCTTATTTAAGAAAAGAAAAAAAAAAAAAAAAAGGGGGGGGCCCCCCACACATTTTCACCTTCAAGAACAGCACTTTTCTTCATTAAAATTGGGTTAAATTCCATAAATTGTTAATTTAATATTCAATTATTTTAGTTTTGCATGCAATATATTATGCATTACATTGTTGTGTCGGGCAAAAACCAACTAAATGTTTCCCAAAAACAGCACGATTGTTCAAGCATTAACATTGCACACAAACTTAGCCATTTAACATTGAAATTAACAAATTTGACACACACAAAAAAACAGTTAACAGTATAGTTTTCTTTTGTTTTTTTTTATTAACCACATTGTGACTTTGTGACCAACTCACCTTCCTCAATTTGTAGCTTCACCACCAAACTCACAACCCGAAGAAGTTCAAAAACCCCAACGGCTGAAACATCATTGGGAGGCTCTGTAGCAAATGAAACAAGAATTTATTATCACAAACAGGTTTAACTCATCAGTACTGTGCTCACCTTGTCCAACTTTTTTCAGCCTGAAATTGGCTTCCTCTAGTCTGGGGACAGGAGGAACACAAAGGCCTGCAGACAAACTCATTTCAGCATTCAAGGGACACAAACATGCTGACGTGAACATAAGTTTGGTTTAAAGAAGCATTAACAATTACCTGTATCCAGCATTGATGCTTGCGCTAACACAACAAAGAGCAAAACAGCAGCCATGGCTTCCTTGATCACATGTGAGAACAGCGCACCACATGAGTTATTATAGCAGGTCGCAAGCGATCACAAGCTGTGCCCGATTGGCTCTACTTAGCACCAGGTGTGCCACTGCAACGTCACTCTTCAGTAAAACACACAAAAAATAAGAATAACAAAGCTCGCAAAAACATTCAACCATGAATGGTTTAGATTTAAGTCCATGTTGCGATCCTTCGAATTTGAACTTCTGGAAAGTTATTTTTCAGCTTTCTGTACTGGAGTATTTGGTTTTCTGATCATTAATTTTGACTACTTGAATTCAAATCAGTTCTTCTACTTGGACTCAAACATTTTTTTAACACAAATATCTGTACCTTTGTTTAAGTACAAACCATGAGTAGGCCTACTGTAGATTTGCACCTGTGGTTTTCTCCTGAAATTCCATCTTCCAGCCACATTCCTAAAACATGCATTGTCATGAAAGACCAGAGTGTCCGTAAGGTGTGAATGTGTCTTTGTCCATGGTTACGCCATTACGTTTGAAGATGATTGTCTTTGCATCAATTTTACACAGACCCAAAAAAATTTTTTTTTTTCTCTCATTTCAAGATGTATACAGGATCAGACATGCTGGATGGTTGAGACTCGAGAGCCTTTTTCCCCCCCTCAGAATGCAAGATTAATTTGAATGACTCATTTTTAATGCCAAATTTACCCTTTGCAAATCAGCAGTTTAGTGTGTGATAATTTGGGCATTTTTAGTCCAACTGAACACAAGTCACAATTGCAATAATTCAGTGTTCTGTCACTGTGCATAGGCTCCATAACCATCTTAACCAGTGGTCCCCAAAACCAGTACCCAAATTCCTGGGCATGGTCTTTGACCACCTCTCGTGGTCTGCAAACACCACCACGGGACAAAGGAAGCCCAGATATGCTTGGAACAAACAAAATTCACTTCATTAGCAGTAAAATATTTACCACGGAGGAACAACCTCAAATGTAATTGGGTACAAAGACTTTGGCACCAGGAATGCAAAGTGAATCCCTGAGATACAGCTTCTTCCCATACTGCAGGGTTTTTTTTTTCCCCCCTCCACACAGTATTTCTGATGCACCTGTATGATTTTTTTTTTTTTTTTTTAGATAAGTTCCCCAGTGTGGGACAAATAAAAGGTTAAGTTTTTAAGATTAAGAATTTAAGATTTAAGTTTATCTTGGACAACACTGTAGTTTATCCAAAAAAACTAACCCAAAAAAAAAAAAAAGCCAACATTACAAGTATCAAGGTAAAGAATTTATTGTGAGAAAAGTAGTTTCATAAACATTTGAGCTCTTCCATACTTCAAACAGCTGTTTGTTCCTGGTACTGGGGGTGGTCCTGGCTCATGGTGTGGTTCTTCTGGCTCATGGTGTGGTTCTGGGGGTAGTCCAGGCTCATGGTGTGGTTCTGGCTCAGAGTGTAGGTGTGGTTTTGGGGGTGGTCCTGGCTCATGGTGTGGTTCTGGGGGTAGTCCTGGCTCATTGTGTGGTTCATCTGGCTCATGGTGTGATTCTGGGGGTAGTCCTGGCTCATTGTGTGGTTGTGGCTCATGGCATAGGTGTGGTTCTGGGGGTAGTCCTGGCTCATGGTGTAGGTGTGGTTCTGGGGGAGGTCCTGGCTCATGGTGTGGTTCTGGTTCATGGTGCGGTTCTGGGGGTGATCCTGGCTCATGGTGTGGTTTTCCTGGCTCATGGTGTGGTTCTGGGGATGATCCTGAATCATGGTGGGGTTCATGGTGTGGTCCTGGATTATGGTGTGGTTCGTCTGGCTCATGGTGTGGTTCTGGGGGTAGTCCTGGCTCATGGTGTGGTTTGTCTGGCTCATGGCGTAGGTGTGGTTCTGTGGGTGGTCTTGGCTCATGGTGTAGGTGTGGTTCTGGGGGTGGTCCTGGATCATGGTGTGGTTCTCCTGGCCCATGGTGTGGTTCTGGGGGTAGTCTTGGCTCATGGTGTAGGTGTGGTTCTGGGGGTGGTCCTGGATCATGGTGTGGTTCTGGGGGTAGTCCTGACTCAGGGTGTGGTTGGCCTGGCTCATGGTGTGGTTCTGGGGGTAGTCCTGACTCGGGGTGTGGTTGGCCTGGCTCATGGTGTGGTTCTGGGGGTAGTCCAGGCTCATGGTGTGGTTCTGGGGATGGGCCTGGCTCATGGTGTAGGTGTGGTTCTGGCTCATGGTGTGGTTGTGGGGGTCGTCCTGGCTCATGGTGTGGTTCTGGCTCATGGCGTGGGTGTGGTTCTGGGGGTTGTCCTTGCTCATGGTGTGGTTCTGGTTCTTCTGGCTCATGGTGTGGTCCTTGCTCATCTTGTGGTGCTGGTGGTCATGGCTGAAGGCATCATTCTGGCGTTCCTTGCTCATGTTGGGGCTGGAGGAGTCATCCATCTCATAGCTTGAGGCACCCTTTTGATTGTAGCTCATAGTTTCCTGCTGTTGACTCATGTTGCGGCCCTCACTCATACGGTCGTGACTGTCTGCCTTTGTTTTGAGCCCTCCGGCCATGTCCAGGTGCAAAGCTTTTCCCAGGCTAAGCACAGCATCAAGTTCCACTTCGTTTTCCAGTACATCTACGTGGCAAGCATTACAATTATCTTTAAGGAAACAAGGCATGTTTTTTTTTTTCAAGGGCACTTCCAAAGTAACTGGTTTAGTATCAAGCAGTCAGAATATGTTTCCCCTGTCCTAAAACATGCTGTGGCTCAAATATGGTAAAAAACAGACGAGAGAAATCACCTTCTTGGGCCAGTGCAGAATCCAAAGACTTGAGGAGCTCAAAAACACTCCTAAGACTAACGTCAGTGGGAGACACACCTGTTTGTAACAAAACAAGTTTTAACATCAGCCTTATTTCATTCATAATATACTCACTCAGCACCTGTTTTAAGCTCCGCATCAGATTCAGCCTGTCCAGCTGGAAAACATAGGCCTGCAGAAATGAAAGCAACTAATTTCAGGACACAAACACAAACTCTGTTTGAAAGAATAAACTCAAAACAAAAAAAATGTTGCTTACCTGTGTCCATGAGGACAGCTTGTGCCAGAAGAACAAAGAACCACACTGGATCCATCGCTTCAGTGATAGCTAAAGAAAGAGAAGCTATATGAGCTTTTATAGGATGTGAAATTAGTGTCCACAGCTGGTACTCATTTGCATCGCCGGTACCACCTGTGCAACAAAGTTCTCCAAAAAAAAAACAAAAAAACAAAAAAAAAAAAAACTAAACAAAGCATGTCAACCTCAATTTTTATAGATTCAAATCCATGTTGAGCATTTTGTTTTTTTTGTATATTCATTTGATATAACATTTCATTCAGAAGCCTTTGAATTGAAGAAAATGTCAAAATTGTTCAGGTATTCTTTTCCTAAGCATTTTTTTTTTTACATCTTTGTAGTTTTACTCCCTACATTGAAAATAAAAATGGTGGTTGAATTTACTCACTTTTATTTCGTCAAGTGGTTGTCAAATAAAATCATCTGTATCCAGATAATTTTTTAAAAGTAAATAGTCAACTTCAAAATCCATATCTGGGTTCAAATGTTATTTCACGCAACCACTTGATGAAATAAATTTGAATAAATGCAGCACATTCTTTCTCAGTGTCCACTAGAAAACTACATACTGCACTCCTTTCTCTGTCAAAATAGGGTCATTACTTTTTTTCAACCTCTATGGATGACAATGGGACATATAAAAGACACAACGTAATCAACACAAACATAATCAGGAAGCATCGAGGGACGATGACGTAACCAATTTGGAGACACCAGATATTCCCCATCTTTGGCTTTATTTCTGAGAATTGTGATCCAAATGGGTATTGCGTAAATTCATTTGTATTTTTGCACCAACTTTATCCGTGTATCTGCAGATATAAGTACAGACCAGGAGTACTTTTGGTACTGCTAATTTTCCCACATTCCGAAAACATGGAATTGGATTCACTGGATGCTAATTTGTCCATCTCTGTGATTGTTGGAGTGAATGGTTGTTTGTCTCTTCTGTATGTAGCCTGCGATTAGCTGGCGACCAGTCCTGGGTGAAACTCACCTCTCGCCCAACGTCACCCTGAGACAGGCTACGGCTTTCCGGTACACCTAATGAGGACAAGCTCTATAGAAAATAGATGGATTATCAATTCAACACAAATGAGTGTGTGTGTGTGTGTGTGTGTGTGTGTGTGTGTATGTACATTAAAATATCTATTTTGTAATCTGGACCACCAAGTGGGACGATTTGATACAGTACGGCATTGGAAAGAACCCCCTCGCAAATCTATATTCATTTATTTTGAGCTTAATATAAACCATATTTATGTATTCACTCCACATGGAGACAAATGAATATTCTTCTAATTCCTTTCACGGGATGAATACATCTAAAAGTATCTCTTTTTTTTTTTTAAACAAACTATCATGGGGCAAAAAAAAAAACCTCAACTGTATAATTAAATTCATAATGAAATAAAACACACTATTTTCAACTGTGACACAAAATTAGAAGTTGCACTTCAGAGACGTAGGGGTACTGTATATCATATTAATCATGATCAAGCACTTTTATTGAAATATTCCACACTTCCCCAAAGTCACAGAAAAAGGTGGTGAGACGAACAGACATTTTAACATATGTGCTTGTTTTATTCATATCGCAGCATATATCAGTAGATGCCATAGGTGTGCTCCTTTCCATCTCTATATCTGTCCAGGTAACGTAGCGGTTGTCCGTGGGGGTATTTCACTTGTGGTGGATGGTACACCGGAGGGCGGATGAATTCAAACACTGGCTCCCTCATGTCTGTAAATAAAGATATCAGAGATATTTAATTATGAAGTCAAATGAACTGCCAAGACGTGTTTTGCATACTGGGGTCGAGTGTTACTCACTGAGGGTGTTGTGAAAGGTGCCGGTGACAGATTCATCCCATTCGCACTGGAAAAACGCCAGACCTGCAGGTGTTATGCTCTCCTGGTGCTTTCTGTAGAAATCCACTGTTTTGAACGTACGGTCTGCCAGCGAATGACTACAAAAAAATAATGGAGGCAAAAATGCTTGACTGTATTTGGCATGTACGGCAACAACTACGTGACGTCACCGTCCGGCCTGCAGACGATGCGGGGTAAAAGGTCGTGCGTGTCGCTCACCACGGCGGCGGCCTCAAGTCTTCCTGGAAGTTGATGCGCCCCTCCTGCTTGAAAAGGATGTAAATGTAGCGGTGGCAGCCAGTTCCTTTTGCGGGGAAAGGAGCTAGATAGTGACATAGTTCTTCTCCAGCCTGCACCGCCTCGCCAGGGATGTTCCCACTGGAGAAACACGCGTCAGTCAACGTCAGCCACCAGAACGTACAAGGTTATGGCACGATATATAGATTTTTAAGCGCTCATTTTTTTTAAAAATGGGTCTTGACAGTAGGTGCCAGCACACTTTCACCACTCTTTGGAGACCTGCGCTATAGTTGCAGCATTCTAAAAAAGTTGAAATGCGTTTATGTACTGTCAAGTCAAAAAAGTGTTTTTTTTTTCCCAGTCTAACAAATATTGATCGTTCTTTGGCTTTCAGCCTATCACAGACCCCCGACTGTTATTAAAACTCGTGTTTTAAACTGTGATAAAATCCTTCCTTACACAAGCCAGTGCAGGTATTCGGCTTCATTATCGAGAAGATGTTCATCTGAAATACACAACGATATATTTGATATTCAGCAATAGTGGATTCCGTGTATTGTTTAGTACCACAGTAGCTGTATTGAATTGAAAACGGGCAGCCTGACCTGGGGAGGTGAGCAGGAGGGTCCAAAGGGAGCCCTCATCTGCGTTAAAGCTGACCATTGGGGCAGATGCTGTCTGGATGAGAGAATAAAACATACATAAAGAAAAAAAAAAAGGAAAAAAATCAACTTTTCTACTGGTCATACTTCTGTCGGTGTGAGTTGATTCCCATAATGGACGTCACCACTCGTTCCTTGGCTATAGCAGATCCGCAGAGGGATTTGAGGGTGGAAATACGCCTTCGGGAAAAGATCCCTGAAGACCCCATAGTGGTCTGCCAGTCTTCTTATATGAAAGGGACCACTACTCTTCTCCCACGTTTCCTGCACTCGATCCAAAGATATCTTGACTGGGGGAGAAAAAGAGACAATGAAATTACAAGCAAGGTTTCAGAGTAAATCATCGATTCATCTTTTATATTCCCCAGAATGTAGAAGTCAGGCTGATTGCCAGCCAATCACAGGGCACATTCAGATGAACATCCATCAGACACAAAGGGAAATCATCTTGATTGAAATTACATGTGCGTAAACGACAGTCCCTCTCCAGTTCGACATTGAGCTTGTTCTCCTTCATCGTCTGCCTCCTCGCCCTCAGCTCATTGGTTCTAGAAGGTCGAAAACGAGGTAGTCCGATGTTCACTCGCGCGGCACCTGACGAAAAACACGGATCACACAATTATGAGGCCGAAAGCAGGGTACACAAATCGGTATGTGTGATTTTTAACATCTTGGACAGGGTATACCCATTTTGATAACTGGGCTTATATTTGAGCATTTTCTCTCCTTGCAACCAAAATCAGCAAAAGTGATTTGTCAGATATCTCTACATCCTTCTTCTGACTAATTACCATGCGATGCTGTGCGAGATAATTGTAACTTTACCTCTTAAAATGGATATGTGTGTACCGTGCCTCATCTTATGGAAGGATACTTCATTATTTCTCACCGTGTTCAGGATCCTCTTTCTCCATCCATCCTTGGTAGGTCTTCCACCAGGCCGGCTTGTTCTTCGCCTCTTCAGCCCGAGTGAAGTAACGGTTGTAGCTACGGTATTTCTCTATGGTGTCAATGTTTCGAACATCAATGTCTTCATTAGGCATCGGACCCAGAGGAGGACGCCGTCGACAGAGGAACGCTGTTATGTGGAAACACACGAATACTGTTAGTGCTGCGCTGTAAGATTTTGTAGGGTAAACTGAATTAAATTGCTCCTTCGACTCTTTGAGTGCGCTACATGTCATGTAAATCAACTTGTCTTGCACATTTCTACACTGCAATGACACCATAGCACTATTTAATCAAGCCAAATGTTGAGACTAAAACAAAGCTCATTCTTGTTTGGATGATTCGTCACTTTAGCATAAACAAGTAGCCACCGATTATTCATATATACTGTATATGCAATTATTTTGATTTCATTTGACTAAGGTCCCTTGAAAACACAGGATGAGCCAATGTGTCCGCAGGGTTTGACCCCACGAAGCATGCAAAATAAAGCACAAACACCAAAAGGCATCCAAATAAATCCCATATTAGCTAAATGCCATTATCTGTACCTGTTGTGACAAAAGTCATCGCATTGTTGACTCTGAACTCAAACCAATTCCTTAACACACCAGCAGATACTGTTGTGCGCAGCGCCATCTTGGATACAGAATGAATCTACGGTGGCCGAGAGCATAAAATGTCATGTTCATGGCTCGTTGTACTGTAATGACCTGCATGGTTACATTGGATGGACAACGCATTTCGCCGTATTACTCATACTACAAATACTATAACTAATAATAACAAAATACATACACACCTACATGGACGCATGCAATTTTTATCACATAAATGCTGTGTAAATAGTAAACAGTATTGAATCATCTCTTCTGTTTATAGATATAATTGTGAATTTTCCTGATAGCACTTTAAGGTATCACGCTGTCGTCACTAGGAAATAGTCAGTTGACGTTGTCATCTGTCTTGATGCGCTGTGAATTTCGCCGAGAGGTGATCAGAATTATTATCGGTCGTTTTTGTTAAACCCATTAGCAACAAATTATAATATCTCCTTTAGCTATATTTCAGTATGGGTATTTTGTTCCCTAGCGCTCCGGCTAAGGTTAGCTTCTCTTTGCCAACTGCGCTTGTCTCGTTATGAACTGCTTTGTTGTCGAGCCACCAGATAACTTGCATGATCAATTTAGAAAGTGCTATCGGGTATTTCTGCTGCTTTGAACCGTTGTGATAATTTCCTTCCACATGCACTACAGGTAAGGTAACAGCAATGACTTCCTGACCAACCTCTTGTTTGTTACATTGTCACACACACACACACACACACGATTGATGTTGTTTTTCCAGAGATGGATTCTCAGAGCTCAAACCTGACCTGTGCCATATGTCTCGACTGTTTTCGCGTCCCTGTTACCATCCTGTGTGGGCACTCGTTCTGTGAGAAGTGCATCACTACCCATTGGGACACTAAAAGCATGTCTGATCTTGGACCGGACTGTCCCATCTGCAATGAGAAGTTTGCCACCAGGCCCACTGTCAAGCGTAATGTGTCCTTGTCTCTCCTGACTGAAGCTGCGAACAGCAACACCGGGCAATCCCACAAAGACCCTGGGAAAGAGGAAGGACCCGTGCTTTGTAAACTCCATCTTAAGCCTCTAGTTTATTACTGCAAGCGTGATCAAATGTCTGTGTGCTGCGAGTGTGCCATCAGAGAGTGCAAGAACCATGACAAGGATTTGTTGGAGACGGAAAAGAAAAACCAAAAGGTATACACTTGACATTTTCCGCCTATGCGTGGTTGTAGTTTGCACTTACTCTGGCTTCCGTAACTTGCTTTGGTATCTTGGTTTGTCGTCTTTTGTTTTTTTTTTTTAACGTAGCTATTATTGGAGAAGAAAAATGCGGAGGTGGCAAAACTCATTGAAGAAACCAAGCAAAGTATTAAAAACCTAACTGAAAATATCAACCAAGCTAAGGTAATGCTTTCATCATCCGTTACGTCAAAGCGGTCTCCCTAACCTTGGGTTATTTGATCACTATTCAGGAGACGATGCAGCAGACATCCAATCGGGTCACAGCCAAGTTTTCCACCATGATAAAAATACTGGCCGAGCGGCAGGAGGTCACCGAGCGCTTCATGGAGCAGCAGACAGAGGCGGCCGTCTCTGAGGCAACGGCGCGTCTCTCTGACCTGGAGGAGAACGTCCAGAAGCTGACAGCGAGCCAGATGAAAATCGCAGCTCTCCACAACCTCTCCGATACAGAGCTCATCAAGGTTTGGAATGATTTTTACTCTTTGCTCCCATTCACCGGGCCTGTTGGAAAGCATTATTGGTTGTCTCTCGTAGCTATGAGTAAAATGTGTCACCACACTGGCACCTGCTAAATTCGCTATAATGACAACTGGAAATCTCTGATCTCTTCCAATAGGAATCAATGCTCATAGAAGTTCCGCGCCTCAAGAATATCCCCTTCGACTTAACGCCCCACCTGCAGGATCGATTAAGTGGCATCACGGAGATCCTGACCCGAATCTCCAAGCTGGTGGTTGAGGACCTCGAAAGAGCTGTCTGCACCGTTGTGGGTCATGACATAGAAGGTAAAACCTAAACATTCAACCACCCTTCTTCTCTCCTTGTCTTTGCATTCTCACGGCTCTCCACCAGGTTCCCCGCAGGAGAAGAGGCCCATTCTGGCTGTGGTTCCCAATCCGGCTGCCCCGAGCCACCCTGGTGGAAAGGAGGGCCTGAGTGCTTGTAAGTTCCTTCTTTTGAATTTGAACTTTGAATGAATGAAATAATGAATTTCTAAAGTGCGGTGAAAATTATGAACGCCGATGCAAATGTGATTGTATTTTCACTGAGGGACGCAGCACTTCTTCACGAAGCCCAATCACACTTTGGCGATGACTGTCATAGAGCACGTGCATGTCGGAATTTCACACTTGATGGCATTCCAGATTCTATTTGTATACAATTAAAAACCGTGCATGAATTTCCCGTCTTCCCTCACGCCAGACAGATGCGCTCTGACGTTCGACCCCAGCACAGCCAACGGCCACCTGGTCTTGTCACAAGAGAACCGGAGAGCCGAGCACCTGACTTCAGGTCTGCGTCACGTGGCGGAGCACGCGTCTCGTTTTGATTCCACCTGGCAGGTGCTATGCAGCCAGGGCTTCAAACAGGGCCAGCACTACTGGGAGTTGGAGGTGTCCAAACCGTGGGCCTACCTGGGGGTACATGCTGACATGAGACATACATTATCGACTATGATTTTCCAATGTGGGCAAGCGCGGTGATGAGAAGTACAACAACATTCTCACTCCCGTTCGCAGGTCACGTATAGCACCATCCCCAGAAAAGAGAAAGGTCGGAGGTGCATGCTGGGTATGAACGAAATGTCGTGGAGCCTGCAGCTCGACGAGAAGCAGCTCAACGCTTGGCACAACAACCGTAAGGAGACCCTGGCTGGATCTTCTCGACACGGCCGTATCGGCATGCTGTTGGACTACGACGCGGGGACGCTCAGCTTTTACGGTGATGGACACGTCAAGCTGCACGCCTTCCATTGTGCCTTCACCCAGGAGCTCTTCCCTGCTTGCTGGATAGGAGAAGGCGTCAGCATTACGCTGTGCTCAACATGAGTGTTCCAAACTGGTTTTGCTTTTTGTTTAAAAATGAGAAATTTGTCTCAATTAAATGGAAAAACAAAGGGGGCGGGGGGGATAATTTGAGCTCTGCGGCATCAGTCAAAAATGCATAAATACACTGTTAGTGAGCATTAAATCAAATCATGATTTCCCTCATTTTATGTCCGTCCATTTAAGGTTGGCGGAAGCTGAAGCCTATCCCAGTTTTGGCATTGAGTGGGACTTGTCAGCCGTGCGAACCACTACGCTACCAAATTCCCCCATTATGTCAAATAGTCATCTGATCCCGTCCACGATGGAGTGTTTTGTTTACACATGAGGAGTTTTGCTTTATTTCTTACGTTACAAAGTGACACGCCGTATTGTCTGTGACATTGCTGCATGAAATTTCCCACGGCGTGTTCCCCACTTCAATTTTTGCCCCAACTCCCTTTTTAAATTATTTTTTTATTTAAGCCTCACCTTTTAGACTTTTTCAAATATGGACAGCAAGCCAATTGCACATGCTCATTTGACTTTTTTTTTTATTATTTATGTATTTTTTTTAAAAACTTTTAAGCCATCTGATGTTGAGAGTCACACAAACCCATTTTACGACTCATTCCGTATGTGTTGGTTATTTTGTATGTGGATTACTCTTTTTTTTTTTTTTTAAGTGTAATGTGACTTGTGTACTTTGAGACTCGCATCTTTAACTTTCAATCAGTATTTCGGGAACATGCACAAGTGTGTAATAGAAGGAAACAGCACACACACACTAAACCACATTCATGTGAAACAGGATCCATTTAATAAATACCTATTGGTTACATTAGCTGTCATTTAATAATTTTAAAGCTTCAGCATACTTTCAGCCATGCCTGAGCAAACAAGAGCCCCGAGATCAGCACGGGGTCTCAGCAAATGTTTAACATACAGTATACAGATAATTTAATCTACTGTAGTAGGAAGTACAGGCAATCTCCAACAAAAGACTTCAAGTCGGAATTGAGACTATTTTCTATCATACCAATGTTATTATTTTTTTTTTTTTACGATGCAGCTGGTTTGCAGTCCCGCGTTTCGTTAACTGTCAAAAAAAAAAAAAACATTTGCTTTTGGACAACATAAAACATAATCCATCCTGTCTGTACATCACCCTGACCCACCTTCCACCGTCTGATCTTAATCCTGGATCAGAGACTCACTGCTGGACTCTTACGCAGTCCTCTCACCCACCGCCATGTGCCGATGCCTTATACGTCCTGATAAGTGTGACACGCTATATATTACCTTCGAAATATATACAGTTAAATGGTAAAAAAATAAATTCCTACATTTAGCTAGCTCACTGGAGACATTCGCGGAGCAAAGTGTACCGTAAGATTCAGTCATACCTGATTGCTAGTAAAGTACGACCTTCAGTCATACCTGATTGTTAGTACAGTACGACCTTCCATAAATCATAGCAAAGCTAAATGAAGTGTCGGGGGGAATCTTGCAACACTCTCGAGACACGAAGAAGAACTAAGAACCCTCTCTCGTCAATTGCGTTTTCTATCCAGTATTTGATCACTTCAAATGTCATCCAAAGGGTTGGAATGAGTGGTTGAGAATGTGGTTCGGAAGACAAGAAGGACGGAAGTCAAGAGGGGAATGATCCTAATAAATTAAAGTGAACCGGATATTATGGCGGTCGATGGAGTCGGCGTGGCGAGTGGATGTAAGTCAAGCAGGTCTACTGGTTCTTTTTGTCTTCGGGAGGAGAGTAAGGGGGAGGCTTATCCTACACACACACACGCACACACACACAAAAAAAAAGATACATAACTACGGTTAGACGACAGTTGCTCAAATGGCGGGAGAGTTGCTTATCTGTAACGAGAGCTAGTGAGTGTCACAAACATCCGCGATGAGTCAAGACTTACCTCTGGCAGGTACACGTGCGTAGGCGGCAACGTGGAACAACAAGCGGCGCTGGCTGCGGCTTCGGCTGCTTTAGCCTCAGCTGGAAAGTAAAGACAGCATTGGCGAAAAGTGAACGCCGCTTAAACAGAGCGCGGTTTTGCTCACCGGCAGCCGTAGAGGGGACTTCAGGGTCATGCAGGGGCTGCCGAGGCTGCTGACCCAGAGCGGATGAATAAGGAGGCGGCGCCATGTAGGCTGCGGCGCGATCAAATGCCGGAGGGTTGGGGTAGAAACCATCTGCGTGGTGCAGAAATAGCACGTTAGAGCGACTCATTCTGGGTTTTATGATTTTTTTTTTTCCTCGATGATACCTGGAGGAGGTACGTCGGGGTAGGCGTAGCCTGGCGGGGGTCCGGCGGGATACGCCCCGTTAGAAGGAGGAGGCGGGTAAGCATAGGCCCCGTTAGCCATAAACGGACATCCACCAAACGCTGGAGTGACCGGCTGACCTCGAGAAGCTGAAGGACACAAAGCATGATGGGAGGACAGAGTCTATATCATGTCTTTTAGTCTGCTTTGTGTACCGAAACAAAAGCGTCCATGCGATGGTTCGTGTTTTTCATTTCGTCAGGGCGGCGTAATAAAGTCTGCATTTGCTCAAATAGTGGCCTCACCCTGAGTGGCAACCTGCAGCATGTATTGTCCAAACTCAATGGCGCCACCTGCAGCAAAGATGAGCTTGAAGCTTGTGCTGCCCTCCCAACCACCTAAAACACAAAGACCACCCACACACAGAATGAAGAAAATTAAATGTCAACATTTTGCAATTGGCTACAAAACGAACCTCCGGGCTCTGCACCGATGGTCCCCTTGATGTAATTTGCTCCCAGTACAGGTTGCTTGACCCCACAGCCTTTCATCAAATAGAAAGGCATCATAAAGGACCTGAGTGCATCTCGACCTTTGGCCACAAAGATCACCTGAAACGGATGAGAGAAAACATTTCGAATGCTGAATTTGTACATTTGCTCTAGTTTTTATGGTTGCCGAGTGATGATTTTAATCAACGGAATGTCAGTCAAAAATACACAAACATATTGTAAACAAGATTTGTACGCATAAAATCTATCACATATTGTATTGTGTTCGAGAGCCTTTAGAGGCGGGGCAAGGTGGGGATGGCACGTGACCTCGGCAAGTCTGCGTGTGAAATGTCTGGCGTGAGCTGTGGACAACAACAACTACTGCCGGTATGCTGATTGTGTTTACATTTTTCACAGCGTGTCTAAAAAGTGCGTCAACCACGATGGCTCTCCTTCGCCACATGCGAGGGCATAACAGCAAGTGAGTATGCGGTAACACCCCATAAAAACAACAATCCCTATAAACTGCGGCTTTCCACAATCAATCGTCAACACGGACCAAAATATAATTTGCTTTCAGAGGGACATGTGAGGAGAAACATTTAACATGTGCATTTCATCTCACCCTGTAGGGAGTCAGGTAGATGCTGCCCTTCTTACTCTTTCTGAAGGCCTCGGGTAGGCTGTCCGTGTCGCCGAAGACCAGCTCCACGTTGTCATGGTTCATCAAAACGCTGACATTAACACCCAACAACAATATCATTATTATGATTGTATCATTCTGACAGACACAAGTCGCCCAGACTGAAATTGTACCAGTATTATATCATAAGGATTGTCAGGTGACCAAACACTGCTCGTCAATTACTTTTGAGTTCTGTAAAAGGATTAGGTTGACTGTACATGCGATCTCCTGACAGATCATACTAATCTGATTTTGAGTCATCTGTTCAGGGGCTATTCTGGTAGATTCCAGAACAATCTACATTGACTTTATTTTATGTTAGTGAAGCCTGCTATCACATTCTGACTCCGTCCGTTTTCGTTGCAAATTGTATCACTCAATACTTCATTTCGATTGATATGTGACAACACGCCCGTTGACACAAGACCTCAATTATGTCGCTTGGAACTAGTGAAGGAAATTGGGAAAAACAAGCTAGCCGCTGAAATGCGTCATTCCAAGTGCTGCCTTTGAATGCGACCTGCGTGCGTAAAACGACACGAATATATCATTATCTAACACGTTTATGGAGTCGATTGGATTTTGTTAGCGGCGTCGCTACCTTTCACTGTTGTTGATAATGACTCCACCGGACTCCGAATGGTTCTGGTTAAGAGTCATGTCGACGGGCCTCCGCAACTCCCACACAGCAAAGCGATGATCGCGTGCGTCGTCGGTCACAATTTATCCGCAACTACAAGCCCGTCTGCAACACCGGTTCGCTTAAAATGACAGGAAAAAAAAAAAAAAAATCACGATTTTTTTTTAAAGATGTTGACGCCGCTAACTTCGGTACGGCACCTGCGCGTCACAGTCGAGGAAAACGCCCACATGCTACGTCGGAATGACGTCACCGTCATCGCTTGTTTCAAAAGCGCTCATAAAATATACAAAAAGATGAACTTCTTGAGTAAATTGCACTCGCCAACTGCACATTTGATTAATGAATAGAGCTATCGACACATATTTTTGACGTTTATTTAAAAAATGTCTTTCATGTTCATTCTTTGTTTTTAAATTTGACCTATATACGGTGTTTACGAATGATCCCATCTCTGCTCTGTTGCGTGACCTTACAGATGTTCACCAGGAGGTCAAGGCCGCACCTGGGCCAGCTGACAGAAAAGCCGTGTGATGAGGTCCTATGTTTGGAACATGCGCGATGTAAAACTAAAGGATGGAAAGTGTGATACATGTCTTTGTATCAATAAAACTACCGTAGACTATTTGCTGGATTGGTGGCTAGTCCCATCATTGTGAGTTTGTCTTGCAGACAACCTCAAGACAATCTGTGTGACACAAGTGATTTCAAATGTGCCCTGGAGAGTTTTTAAAAGAGACAGGTACAATGTAGGGAAGTATATGTGTAGTCAGTCATCCGCACTACCTCATTTTTTACCGGAAGTGATGACTTCCTGTGTGACAGTTTTGTCAAAAACACTCCGCTCATGCATTGTCACTCATACATGCAGGACACGCTGGCGGCTCATCAGAGAGCAACATTATGTCAGCTCAAAGGGAGACCACCAGCGCAGTGGAACTACTCAAAATACCTGAACAAGTAAGGGCTATAATTCTACACCGTGGTTGGTCACAAATGCGTTACAAAGTCGATGTTTATTCAATGAATGGAGGCATAGTGATGATTACTTCTCATTTTCTTCGAAAGATTATGATTAAAGTTTTGCAAGGTGCTTACACCCATTGTCATTCACTTACAAGTAGAAGCTATTTCAATACTGTACTTGAATGCACCACGATAGAAAATATCTACAACGAGATCTACTGTATGTCTAGTGTAAAAGAAAATGTATCAATGTAAAAAAAAAAAAAAAAATTAAAAATGGAGGACGTTCCTAAAAAGTGGACGTCATTTAAAATATGAAAATCCCAGTTACTAACTAAAAATAAATAAATTAAAAGAATTTGTCAACATTTCAGCAAAACATACATTTTAGAACCAATCGATAAACATTCAACAAATGTCTGCGCCTGTGACACAATATTTTCCTTTTTGGCCTCGCCTTTGCATTTTTTTTTTTTTTGTGCCATCTCCAAGTCATAACGGTGATCCAGTTGCTTGAAAATGGCCGTGTTTGAACTTTTTTGAAAGTTGTTTTGAACACACAAAAAGTCTCTTCGCTGCTTTTTTCACCCAAAGAACAAATACAACATAAAACTTATCCTTGATTTTAACATCATACTTTTTTATACATCTTGTTAGGATCGACGATTGTTTGAAAGAATCGTTCATGTTATTTGACGACGAAATGGTGCCAACTATTTTGGAACACCCTGTCATATTTTTCATAGTCCAGCATGTGCAATCGATCTCGTTCTTACAACAATTTCAAAAGTCAAATGCAGAAGCTCGCGATGGAGTGACAAAGGCCAAATGGTTATTTTGAACGCTGGTGCCATGAATCACAATTATTTTAGGATGTGAGTTTGGATCAGGTGATGCAGAATGAACCCAAACAGTCTATTTCCGCCCCCGAAAAAAGAGAATTCATTTTCTGCTAGTTGTCATCAAGGCTTTTGGGGAAAAGGCCTTAGACTGCACACATACAAAACAAACAACCATCACCCGCCCATTCACATCCATTGACAAATTAGACTCGAATTTTCTTCGGAATGTGGCAGGAAGCTGGACAGCACCCACACAAGTGCGGCAGCAACATAAAAAGTCCACAAGAGAAGTTTCGGAGAGAAACCTCGAAGCTCAGAATTGTGAGGCAGACATGCTAACCATTAGCTCACTGCGCTGCACAAAAATAATCCACTAGCTGTTACATCAAGTATATTTCCACATGCAAATGTTTCATTGGGATGGGTCTCTCACACACCTATGACAACCGTATCCAAAATAATTTTTGTGCTAATGTGCTCATAAATATTGAGTTTTAACTCATATATTTTAATGTTTTTTTTTGTTTTTTTTGTGGTTGTAGTTTGATTTTTTTTTTTTTTTTGAGATGGGATAACATCTAACAAGTTCGTTTTCAGTTGTTTTACTCTCTTGCATAGACAACTGCTTGTTCATAAATTTGACATGACTTTCTTTCCCGGCGGTGAATATCGTTACCTCATTGTTGCCTCAGTTGAAGTTTCATAATCTGGAAAAAAAGGAAGTTTGTAACAGACGCTGTAATTAAATGATCAAAAGTCATCCTTGTTGAACATCATATTTTAACATTTCAGAATATGTTAAAACCAACATTTTTGCTTCCTATGTATGAATAGTCCTCTTTATATTCTATTTCCCAGAACCTTGGCTTGTCAAGAATGAAGCAGGTAATCTGGGTTACAAAATACTGCAGATTTGTCGTAATGGCGCTGTGCAATATTCATTCGGCCATGTTTTATTATCTCTTCCTCGCTAGTATTCTCCCGGCCATGGGCGTAAACTGGGCCAGACAAGAAAGTTCCGATACAGGAGGGTGAGCAGACTCAAAACCCGAAATGGAACGTGAGAGAATATTTTCATTTTCATTTGTTTTAATTTTAGGATTTTAAAGATGAGGAAAACCCCGAAGAGAAAGCCCGTCACCTCAAAGAGCTACAGGTACAGTACGTCACCTGTCACGTAACTGCGTATCGTAACGGTCGGTACTGACAAGAACATCTTACTTTGCTTCTATTTAAAGCTCAACCCGCTGTATAAGGAGTTGTTGTACACTATTGCGCATAAGATGGGAAAATCGGCATCAACGGAGGTCTTTGCCGACAGCCAACTTCACCAGTATATCAAAGAGGTGATCGCCTTCTCGTTATTTATCACCCTACTCCCAGTCTCTTACGTACAACCCGTCTTTCAGCTGAAGCGTGTTGTCGTTTTATCCTGAATGTCAGCATAAAGCTCATTATGCCCAACTACTTGCGAGTGATGTTATGTTGCAAGGCGAGTTAAAAGAGATTTAGAAAATCAATTTTTTTTTTTTTTTTTAATAGGCTCTAACAATGACAGAATCTGAGCACAACTCTCTGATGGAAGTAGTACAAAACTCCGAGGTGAGAAATTTCAAAATCCTTTATCTGTCAAAAAAAAAAGTTTGGGGAGTATTCCTCCCATTATGTCATTTTTTGTTACCATGAAATACAACTTATTCATTTCACCTTTCCATCCACAAGTCATTTCTTGAAACGATTTGAAACTTACAGCCACCTGTGTACTGCCTGATGGCTACTGTAAAGGAAGCCAGGGGAATTCTGGGAAAAGATGTTAGCGGTGAGTTCACACATCTCATTTTCTTTTGTGGATGAAGAGGTTATAATTGTAACGTGTATTTCTTACATATTTTTGATGAATTTTTAGACTTTAGAAAACATTTACGTCTGAATTTTGGGGCGGCTTGGAACGGATTAGGGCATTTACATGGAAAACGCGTCTCTACTTCCAAAATTTTCTCGTTAAGAAATTTCTTCCAGAACTTTCAATGTCTTGTCCAGGTTTAAGTGACCCCTACTGCTTGCTGACCATACTGGAGGACGAAGAAGAGAGGCGCACACGTCGTTCCAGAGCCAAGGCCATTAAATACGTGGTCAAGGACGCCGTGTCTGACGATAAGATCTATCAGACCGACATCAAGAAGCAGACTCTCAACCCAATTTGGAACGAAACATTTATACTGTGAGATTGACGTGCATTTCTTCAGAGGATCGGCTTGCTTTTGTGTCATTTTGTTTTTATTCTTCAGGGAGTTTGAAGACATTGCGGGTGCCAGCTTCCACCTTGAAATGTGGTATGAGAGAAAGAAAAAAAAAAACATCCCTCGCTTGTCATTTTTCACTTCACAAAGCTCAAATCCTCACCTCGTCGCCGTTGCAGGGATAAAGATGAGGAGGTGTCGCTCACTCAAAAACTCGAGGAGATCACCACCAGTTTGTCGAGTTTAAGCAGGTCGCGTGCTAGGTTGACTCATCACACCCGAGCATTTGAATGAAGCGGGAAAAGTGACGCCATTTTTTTTTTCTCTTTTTCAGAATTCTTAAGGAGGTCACAAAGGAGAAAGGGACCGATGACTTTTTGGGGAAAGTTGTTATCAAGCTACAGGTCGAGAGTATTTTCTTACCCGTTTAAAAAAATTTTTTTTTTTTTTGCAATAACACCATCTTCTGACTTCAAAATCAACGTCCCATAACATCATTTCAGGATCTCCACTGCACTGAGGACAACTGGTACATTCTGCAGCCGAGAACAGAGACGTACCCGGACCGAGGCCAATGTCACCTGGACCTCAAGTTTATCCATAAAGCGGTAACAATGCATCTTGGTATCCGGCATACTGCCTTCATACCCATTCGCTCTTGCATTTTACAACCTAGGAACATTTGGATAGCTTTTCGGATATTGGAAATCACTCCCTTGGAGTTATCGTTAGTCCAGTAATTGGCCCGTAGTGGTTCGCTTGGCATAATTCCTACTTAGCCAAAATGGTTATTTATCTATGAATCTATGCATGTTCTATGATGAACTGTTTCAAGAGACAAAATGTGCTGTGTCGTATGACTGGCAGAGAGATGACACACTAAGCCCAGGTCGAAACGCTTACACCAACTACTGTGGAATCCTGCAACAGTTTGTCCTGTCTTACATTTCCAAGCAAAAGGTAAGGGGGTCTCTCAAATCTCATTTAAAAAAAAAATAATAATAATAAATAAAGAAACATACCAAGCATTGATGTAGCCGTCCAGCCACATTTTCTTTCATCACTTCCAGAGTTCCGCCCCATGGAAAGGGGAATTGTGCGGCGAGGCGCAGACTCTCCTGGAGCATTACGCCACACAGAATGACCTTTCACCTTTTCTTCAAGACTTGGCGTAAGCCGCACTGTAACATGAAAACAAGAATGTTTTCACTCACTGGGCTTAAAAAAAAAAAAAAAAAAAAGTCTTGGTTGAAGCACCGCTGCACTAAAATGGTGAAACGTGAATTTCAACACGGGGCTTCTCGAGCAAGATTTCATTATTTGGACCATTTGGTTCATAATTTTGTGTTCCCATGACAGGAAATGGGTGGCTTACAGTAAACTGTACCAAAGCATCGAGGTGGATTCCTCTTTGCTGTTACAACAACTCACGTGTGTGGAGTACCACTGGCATCAACAGGAGCTGCCATACCAACAGGTGGGAAAACCGCTAAGTCGGTACAATTATTCTAGTTTTTTTTATTTTTTTAATAAACACAAAATAAAACTTGAACACAATTGTTGCATCATGTCAATCAGAAGCAAGAACTGGGCGACTCTCTTCATGGTTTCCTGCATTACGGTCTCCATCTCGTGTCAAAATACCGAGACGTCTTCCCCCCGACGCCGAGTGCCACTCCGAAATTACACACACTGCTCAGGTACAAAATCGCTACGAGCTCTTTCCATGAACCACAGATGCTAATCCGTTCAATAAATAAACATTTGTCCTTCCAGGATCTTAGTCCAGATCTGCAAGACAAAAGCATTTCAGAAAATGAACCCGGCTGATTTTGAACTGCACGACGAGGTGGCCGACGCGGTCCAGGTCCTGTAGCAGCCACAATGATGTCAGTCATATGTTGAAAATCATTGATCATGATGAGAATTTTGTTCTCGCTGACAGACGGGCACGCAGGCGTGGTTTAGCAACAAAAAAGGTTTGCACCAGCCAATGACCAAGGTAAAACACATCACGTTGCCTTTACAGAGTACGGTATTGAATTAATATGTCCAGTGGACAGCTTATCACGTTATCAGGTTACAGGGTGCATGAAATGGTTTATTCAACATGGCATCGAATAAAAGCTCAAATTTCAAATCGAATTTAGTTTCCCCGTCCTTAAGCCGTAAACTTTATCAAAGTGGATAGCGGGTGAGCTAATGGTGGTCGTCGTTTGCCGCTGTCACCTTCAATTTCGAAACGAGTCATTCAGTAAAACGCAGTGAGCAAAAGTACAGTCATCATTCTTGTAAAATCATCCCGAAATCATCATACTAATATATTTTCAAAGACATCCTTTCATCCAGTTTTTGTGGGAATTCATAGATTGTGTTGCGGTGTCTATTTTTTATTTTTTTTTTGGGGGGTGCACTTGCCCCTCAATCAGGAGCTATCAGAGATCATTAGCGCCTTGTCCAGGTTGATTGTCGAAGTACGGGATGACATAAAACTCAACAGGGATGTCTGGAACAGAACATTTGTCAGGTAAATCCAAAAAATAAAGCAATTGTATAAATACGAACATTGTAATTTAGTTACTCGTCGATCACTTTTGAAATAAAATGTGGTTCTTTGGTCATCGTGCAGTGCGGTACAACTGGACGTGTTCACTGAAGTCTACGAGAAGTTCGATTCTCTGGTAAGTGAGACAAGTAGTTTGTACTTGATGTCATTTTTATCACCTCACCGACTTTTTTTTTTTTTTTTTTTAATTTGCGCAGCTTGCTACAGAAGTGAGAGAAACCTTATCTCAAATGGAGGGTCACATTGATCAGAGTCTAGCCAACAGCCTGTTTCCTGTTTACCTGAACCTGCAAGCCATCCGCAAGGACAAGGCCTTCTTACAGAAAAGGTCAGTCGGACTGCAGAATTGATATCGTTTCAGTCATTTCGGAAAAAAAAAATGCAATTTTTACCATGCATCAATTTAGCAGTATGACTTTCCACACACACCCACGTCAGCGGAAGTCACAAATTGGACAAAAGTTGCATTTAGTCTTTGTCAAAATAACATTCTTTTACTGTTTAGTTGATTCAAAATGCGCAACTAGATAACGTAGCGTATAATTAGCATACGAGCTATTTTTTTCATTTCAGGGGTTTACTGAAGCTGACAAACTTTCATGTGAGCTTCAGAGAGGCTCAGCCTTTCTGGCTCCACCAGATATTCAACACCACGATGGACAGAGTGGAGAGGGCCGTGAAAGTCGACAAGGTATACTGCTTCGTGTTTCCGTGCGCCGCATTGCGTTTGTGTTTATGAGTCGTGACACGTTTTGAATATGGCTCTCAGCTACAGCCCATGCACTCCAGTGCAGCACCCATAAAACACAGCTCCTCGGCCGTGGACCTGGTTGCTTGCATCCAGCCTGTGTGCGACATGTGGGAGCAGATGTCCTGGCCGGACCCCGAGGAGTCATTCATGCTCATGGTCAAAATCACTGAGGTGTTGTATACTTTTTCACATAGTTCTGATTTGACATTGCGACCATGTAATAAAAGTCAGAAACGTGCTGCAGTTTAAAGATTTTGCAAAATTTTGAACTTGAGTCCTTGTTTGGCCTTTTTTACAAAAAAATTAAACACACCACACCATTAACATATATTTTTTAAAAGGAGATCTAGTGAAAATTAAAGAAATAATAATTATAGCATACTCTAAGCAACCAGTTGCTTGTTCTGTTGAAATTAGCCCATTTTTAGTGAACCTTCAGGCCTCACCTCATACACTGCTGGGCTAATAGCGAGTACTGATTTATTGAGTTATTTTAACACGGTGATATGGTTATGGCTGTAATTCATGCTACATGCTAATGTTGATTATAGTGTGTTTTTTTTCTGTATGTGTGTGCAGGATGTTTGTAAGATTGTGGTGACCTACTGTCATCGTCTCAAAGCCAGAGTCAGGATGCTCTCTGAGAAGTCAGACCATGGAAGCGCAATTAAAATGGTGGAGGGTTGTCTTGCTTCAAGAAAAAAGAAAACAGGTGCTCCACATTGAAAAGAAATATCAGTTCTAGTTCTTTCTTCTTCCATAGCTGTGCGTTGTGGTGAACGACCTGGAATACCTGCGGTCCGTCGTGGCGCAGCTTCCCGCGAAGCTAAAATGGGCGGCGCTTTGGGAGCGCACCCGACACGCCATCGGGGAAAGTCAGTTTCACAACACGCTGCAGGCGCAAGTGCAGCAAACTCAGGGCGCCCTCGGACGAGAGATCCGCTCCGCTTTGGACACGCTGAGCAAAAAGGTGCGTGAGATGTGCAACAAGCACTTAGTCGTCTTCTGAGAGAGGGGGCCAACATCTTTTCTTCTGTCTTTTCAGTTGAATGCAGATATTGAGACTTACGTCAGAGGAATGTCAACCACAACGCAAAATCCCTCCAAATCCACAGAAGATGTAAGTACAGTACTTTGCTTCGCGCAATGAAATAATATTTGTCTTGTTACCTTAACCTCATCGAATTTAGGCCGCAACCCCTCTCATGCGCTATCTGGAAAAAGAGCTGCATTACATGAATGAAAACTTGGTTCAAGAGAACTTCAACAGGTGACGGGAGAGCCCCCCCCCGAGAACGTTGTTTGTGAATCCAACTTGACACAAATTGCTCTCTCACGCGCAGTCTGCTGACTCCCTTGTGGAACAACTCGGTGAAAATCCTCTACCAGATGGCTGCTGCGCATTCGCACCAAGGGGGGCTCATGGTATTCTGTCACAGGCTGCTGTACACACTGCAGGTAAAGTGCATAGAAGCACATCGTGGACTCAATTGCAATGATCTCATACTTTTATTCAGACTCTCCCAAAACTGGAGTAAATTCACAAATGTCCCTGAAAGGGTTTAAAAAAAAAACATGACTGATGATTTAGCTCGCTGTGATATTCATTTCAGTGCCTGGAACAGTGCTTCCACGGCGAGGGTAACGGTCTTCCATTGGAAACACTCCACTCTGATGATTACAAGGTAAGCGGATAGAACTGTCGACCGTATGATGAAAAAGTTCCGACTAAAATCTCGCTGCTGATGGTCGTAGGCTCTCAAGGCCTACCTGACTCATCACTCTCTGAGCAGTCGCCAGCTTGTGGACAAGTACCTCGAAGGGAAAATATTGGAGCAGGTGTGATGCTTTCGTATTTCTCTTTTAAGGGGATATTGTGCATCTGTATTCTTTCAAACTATTACTTTGTCACGTATGCCACAGAGAGTGACTGCCGGTGAGAAATACGGCGCGGTTACACTTCGCACCAACTACAGGAGATCGGACCAAAGACTCAGAGTTGAAGTGTTGAACGCAGCCAACCTTCTACCAATGGATTCCAACGGTGAAACTTAACAGAAAAGTCAGAACACACATGCAAAAAGTCTTACATTTCATACACAAGGCAATTCAATGGGCTTCACACAACCAAATCACAACACCTAAAAACATTTAAAAAGTATAGGGAACAAAAAATGTTTTGTTAAAAAATAAAAGAAGGGACATCGACAACAATCAAACAGAAGACTGAATGGTATTTAAAAGCAAAGTCAAGATATAAAAGGTAGCTTTCTATAATTACTGCCAATATTATTGAGATTAAAGGTCAGATTCCATACATTTTTAGATGATTTTTACACACAGAAGCGGGCGCTGTCAAATCTTACGTTGTTGAGCCGATCAGTGGAAGAGAAAGTGAAAGTAAAAGTGAAAGTGATGACTGTGACGACGCTATTGAGGAGCCCGGTTTAGAGTCGACACAATACCACGCACGCAGAGTTGATTAGAAATAATACAGGATCGATGTATTTTTTTTCTCGAGCAACCTCAACTCGGTTGCACAACAGCCGGCCGTGCTGTGCGTGATTCATAACAACGCGTCGGCCGTACATCAAACGTTACAACGTGGTGGACAATCTTGAGTTGCATTTTTTTCAATGCATAGAAATGTATAATCACCATTTCTGAGGTGTTGTAGATGCATGCAAATAACTCCTCACCTTTTGCCTGCGCCGCTTTTCGAATGCACGACGACCGGGACTCCTTCCTGCCGCAAGCTGATCACGCTGCCGATTGACTTTCCGATCCACTTCTCTTTTCGTTATCCTTCGGAAACCCGAAGAAACGTGCCATTCCCCTCGCCGTTAGTGCAACTAACTGCCACACAAAAATGAATGAACCATTGTTTAAGCGCTAAAGCAACTGAACGCCACAGTCTCCACTTCATTGTTTGCCTATGTGACGTCACAGACCCGGAAATACCCGAGATTCAAACCGCAGACGACTCATTATTATATTAATTGATTAAACTATTATCTACCTACGATTTAATCACTTTCGAATGACGTTTATGCATCGTAAAAGGGTTTTAGAGGTCTCAGGAACAACTTTTCAAACTTTGGTCACTGACCTTTAATGCTTCATAAGTTCATAAAATGAATAACATTTTACGTAATTGCCTGAGTATGTTCTTTTATTTACTTTTCTGCCGTGCATCCTGGTGACATTTGTCTTATACTGTATCTCCTGCGTTCCACAGGTTTAAGTGATCCCTACGTGCAGTTGTGTCTGGAGCCTTTCCACACCTTCCCTCTTGTAGAACCTTGCCGCACTCAGATAAAAAGCTGCGATCTAAATCCTCTCTTCGATGAGGGCTTTGAGTTGTAAGTCTGCTTTGCTCAAATTCTTCTCACGAGCTCTCATACACGATCTTGAACTAACAAATTGTCTCCATCACATGACAGCCTGATTGGGTTGGATCAGTGCCATGCTCCAGGTGCATGCTTGGTAGTGACGGTTCTGGACCATGACACCTTGAGCACTGACGACTTTGAAGGTGAAGCCTTCCTGTGTCTCAAAGACATACCTGGAGTAGCAAATACAGAGGCAGAAAAACACGGACCGGGCTTTCATCCCGATCCAGTTCCTGCTCAAATTCGTCTCCCTTTGATGCATCCAAAACCTAATGGTATGATCTTGCTCTTTTGGTTGGTGTCACTGTTTGAATACAAATCTAATAGCAAATTACATGTTCATTCATGAATCTCAAATGTTGAACACGGTAGTTTTCGTGTGTACGCCTTACTTTTATTGTCATCAATGTGACAGTCACTGCAAAAAAAAAATCACGCTGACCACCCACGGCAATCACAGCCGGTTGTGTTTACCCATACCTTCCTATTTTTTGCACAGGGGTCATCTTTCCTGACTTAAATGCAACCTTTCCTCACCCTCTCTTCTCTGTATTCCCAGAAAACAGTATCCTTAAATTGCTGGAGTCCAGAAAAGGCGATCGAGAAATACAAGCCTTTGTGAAGAAAAGAAGACAAAGAGAGAAACAATCCAAGGAGCGAAGTCAACCATGACACATGCACGTTTTTTTTTCCATCCAAAAATATACAATTTGTTTTAATGAACTAAATCCATTCATAATGAAACACTGATATAAGACAGTCCACTTCCTGATGCATTTTCTAATCAGTGCGGTAAAGTTTGTCAATACACAGAACATGTTAAGACTACAATGAAATGTCAACAATGACAAGCTGCCTTGGGAAAATACGGCAGGTTTGAATAAACATGTGAGTAATTGAGACGATGTGAAAAGTTATGAAATTTAAAAAAAAAAAAAAAAAGTAATTTAAAAGACTACACAAGTCGACTGAGTATATTTCGCTTGATTGTGTTCATATGCATTTCTCTTTGAGAAACCTGAGTGCTTTAACAGAGGCTGCCTGTTGTATAGTTCATTCTAAATGTATTCACTAAGTACTTTGTTCCTATTTGCATGTTTTAATTATTTATTATTTCTTTTGCTAAAAATTACAATGAAAACAACAAATTCAGTATATAAACAACACCTCCACTAACTCCTGTCGGCCCCCTTTGGCTATAGCTAGATATATTGTACAATTTATATGGATGAGATGAAATATGCCCTTTAGGGTTTATATCACATCACCTTACTAAGACTCATGATTTGGTTAACATATCAAAATGTTGCCGTTTTGCCTTGTCATCCATACATTGAGACAGTCTGACATTGATGTGGACAGAAATGATGTCAAAAACGTATAAAAGTCTGCACGTGATTCATAAGTTAGCATTTATGAAATTTGTTAGCCATTACAAAAACAAAAAAAAAATTAATGCTAAATGCTTTTTGTTTTTTTTTTCGTGACATGCCACGGCAATGCATTTTGAAATCCCCGCCGGCAACTCTGATGATTGACGGCGCTGCAAAAATAGTCACTTGATTAGGTACACTTGTATCATACAGTGCAATCCGGCTGTGTTACTTTATATATTACATTATTTGCATGAGGCCGAGCAATTCTGCACTTCTGGCGACTTCTACCTTCACAATCAATTCCTTTTGTCAGTCACAACCGAGTAAGGATTGTTTTCTATTTGGGCAGTGCCGGTTATTTCTCATTACAAGCACGTGTCGTGTACCTCAAGTGGCCACATTTCATTCTGAAGCAGAGTCTTAAAAAAAGAAGTCAAATATGCTAATTGATGTTAATTAATCACATCAAGATTACAGTAGGTGTAAAAAACAGTGGTGCTGGTCATGAGCAATCGGATGAAAATATGCTGATGTTCCCATTGGTAAAACTGGAAATTATTCTCTTAATTACTCACGAATGGCTGATTAACCACAAGCACAATGAAGCCTTGTATTTGAAATTTGGGAACTGGTCGTCCATTATTCATTGAAAAATGTGCTCAGGCCATAGCCATGTCTAATGTAGAAATATTGCTTTGGGGCCAAGGAACTATGTTGACATGAGGGGACAAGCTTCATTTAGTCAGGCCATAGCCTTGTCCAATAGAAAAAAAGTTGCTCGAGGCAACTACAAATCTTTTTGCGTGGATGTCAATCTGCATGGATTTTTGCTATTCGAGGCAGCGCCTGTTCACTGTACCCCATGAAATGATCGTCTGTCGGGAATCATCATGTATTCACGTTGCAATAAAGAGTAAAAAAGAACCTCGACAAAGTCTGGAATGGTGTCAAAGATCCATGGCTGGTGGTCGTGGAATCAAGACTGACTAATGTGGAATCTCCGATGTGTGTGGTGGTCTGACTGGTCCGAAGTGTCAGGAGAGCTGCTGCTGCTTCTGCTCCAGTGTTTGTTCAGGACAGCGAGGGCACTCTGTGGAGGTGGAGCAGCTCTCGCAATGTAGTCCATGGCCGCATGGCAGCGAGACGGAGCCCTGCTCTCCACACGACACACAGCACTGCCTCTGTTTCTTGTACACCACCTTGGGACAACACAAAGAGACTCTTTAGTCAAGGAATATGACATCTACTCAAAAAAAAACACATACAAATAATGACCTGTGAATGATGATTGATACATTTCGCACAAAAAAACTTCAGTATGGCTGTTGGGTGTGTCATAGTTGAGGTATTTATTACCTGTTCCACAGTGTGTAAACAGCTGCAGAGTTGCGCTTGCAGACTGAGGATGGATTCCAAGGGAAGTCTGTGTAGCATCTGCAGCTGGTGCAACGATAGATGGGGATTGTCTCCGCTCCTCAGGGTCTCCAGCGCCTCCTCCAGGAGAGAAGATTGTCTCTGTGCCTCCTCCTCAGCCTGCCTGTTTCTCTCGGCCTCCATAGCCAACCGCGCCGCGTGGGCACGTGACTCCTCAGCGTCTGCTTTCAGCGTGGCCCACGACTGCAGGAGAGTGTCGTTCAAAGGTATATATATTGACAATATATATTTTTCCAAAAAATTCCAGCTTTAGAATCCCTGTTACTTACCTGAGCTGTGTGTCTCCAGCTGTGTCCCCACTGCTTCAGCGCCCTGTGAGCCTCCTCGAGCTCCTGTTTGAGCCTGGATGTCTCCGCACATGGGCCCGAGGGCATCAGGGCTGGGGGTGTGCCAGGGGAGCCCTGGCCTGACGGGAAGTGCTCCCAGATGTTACTGCTCATACCATTAAGACCTACAAAGCACAGATGAAATGCAGGGAGTGGATATCACGTGGCAACTCTCTCTCATGTGAGCAGTGGGGTGAAGTTCCACACACCTAAGGAGCTATGGGATGGGCCCAGGAAGGGACTCTCTTGCTGTCCGGGTTGGGACAGCTGAGTGGAGAAGAATGGGGAAGCGCGTGGTCTGATTGGGGGCGACGGCGAGGGAGAGCTAAAAGGAGCAGGTGTGCTGAAGGATCCTGGGATGTTGACTGGGGCTGAGCTCTGAAGCCGGTTACCTCATTTTAAAAAAAAAGAAATAAAAAAAAGAGGGGAGAGCATATTGCGTTGAGCCACGTGCTGCTGCTTGGAAACAATCATTTCTTGTCGCAGATGTCACGCAATTACCGAGCCTCACTCCCACCCGCGGCAGACTTGAACTACTCTCCAAGCCCCTTTCCAACGCTGAAGTACCAAAATCATTCAGGTCGAGATCATCCAGCGCCGACTCTGCGACAAAGACAGCACCAGAGCATCAAAACAACTGTCAACCACACACAGA